GTGCACGGGGGGAGCTCTGTCCCCTCTGACCTGACACAGGGTCTGGTGCCACCCTCGTCCCCTCCATCTCTTGGAGGTGCCCCTAGCAAACGCAACAAGCCAGAAGTCCACGCAACCTTTCCCCTTTTCTAAATGCTATTTCTTATTTCAGCTAAGGCGCTTAAGAAATGAATGTGGTCCTATCACCCTAAAACAACGCATCGCAAACAAGCATTCTAAAGACCATCTCTTGCCATGAATAAATTGATGGGGACCATTACCTTGTAGCAACTTCCCACATAAAAAACGCTTCTTAAAGGCAGCCCAAGGCAGGGAAGACGTATTTACATTTAGATGAAGGTGTTTCTGTCACAGCACCTCCCTGTAGTTTCTGACCCCAGGTATCGTCTCCAGAAGATACCAGTAAAACCAGGGAGTTTTGCTTTGAACAACACAGAAGGAAAAGGGGAAAAATGCTTCTAGGGTCCAGCTGCAAGCTGAGGTAGCCAGGAGCTGCATCCAAAGCAATGTCAATAGGAGAAAGGAGACTGGCACCATCATCCCAGGCACAAACAGCGAGGAGCTTCCCATGGATTAGGAAACTTAAAGACTTCTTAGTTACTCTAAGACTTCAAGACATCATGGTACGTTGCCTCATTAATGCAAGAACCCAAGCGTTTTCCAAAGGTTTTCCCAATTTTCCACCTTTAGGGTGGCTTCCCTCCGCGAGCAGGGCTGACCAGGAGCTTGCAGCACCCACTTGCCCGGCTATAGAAACGCCCGTGCACAATAACCACCTGGGGTTTCTTGTTGGCATTCAATGTCCTCCCTAGTCAGCAACTCGTCCTGCTTCAGCACGCCACAATCGCAAGAGCAAAGGCGAGGAATGCTCAGCATATCCAACAACACGGTGCTGTATGGTCTTATTCATCTATAGAAAAGGCCCAAATATCCCGGCGTCGGCTCCATCCAGCGTTGCCCCTTCCACAATTGGGAACCAAATCATTGAAAATCGACTTTCTTCATCCCCAGCCTCCCCAAAACTCAGCACAGACCAGGCTTTAATGCAGCAGCTTGATGGACAAAGAGGGACAGACACGGATTACAAACCCTCTGGGCGCAGCACATCTTACTCGCGAGCCAAAAAGGCTTAATCTGCCTTTTGAAGGCGGCAAGAAATGGAATAAATTCATTAAGAGTTTCAAAGCGAAGAAAAGATGACGAGCACATTCTGAGGCTGGGTATAAGCAAGGGATTATTTAAGCATTGTCGCCTGTGCGAATTAGCGCTTCCCGCCCCGGGCCACCCAGGGGACTGAAGCCGCTGCTCAGACTCCCATAGCAGAGCTCGAAGCGAGGAGAGGGGGGACGAGCACAGACCAAACCCGGGGGTTTTTGTCCTCGGGGCGGCTGCAGATAAGGCTGCCGCGCGCTCCTGCCTGCACGCACCTGGGGAGGCCTGCACGGCGGCAGGGAACGTGGAAAGCTTAATTAAATACAATGAAAAAAAAAACGCAATGAAACCTGGCACTGCGTCTTTTACGAGCGTTCTTACCAACCCTTCAATTCCTGCCTGGCGCCACACCATTGCACTTGTCGCTGGCGGCTGCGGACGGGCACCTGCTCCTCCTGCTGGAGCAACATCTCGCTCATCCTCCTCCTCCTCGGAACATGTTGGCACCAGGAGCCAAATGAGCAACACGTCAAGTGAGAAAAAACACCCTGGCACAAGGCAAGAGCAGGAGAGGGACCTGCCTGTGCACTGAGGACAAGCCCTGCAAGGACAGCAGGGTGCAACGCTGCAGGCTGACACAGCCCTCAACGCTCCCTGGCCTCCCATGAGCTCCTCAAGCTTCCTGATGTGCTCCTCAAGCTTCCTCATGTGCTCCTCAAGCTTCTTCATGTGCTCCTCAAGCTTCTTCATGTGCTCCTCAAGCTTCCTGCCCTTCCCCACACCCCAGCTGGATGACGGGGAGCATTCCCCAGCCTCCCAATGCACAGGCATACCATGGACCTGTGCAATGCTAACAGGTTCAATCTACGATCTATCTCCCACCTTTACGTTTCCCTCCCTCAAATGACCACAATTATTGAAGATATAAAAAGATTCTGCTGGCAGATATAGTTAATGCCATGCAATTTAGTGGAAGGCTGAATGGGTCCTTCCACAGGCTAAATTAAGAGCACCTGGAGAGTTCTGGTGTTTCACATGGCCACTTAGGCTGTTAAATCCTCCGCAATGCTAAAGCTCTCCCCCAACTTTCAGCAAATATAAATAAATAGATAATAAATAATAAATAATAAATAATAAATAATAAATAATAAATAATAAATAATAAATAATAAATAAAATCCAGAACAGCTGTGAAGGAGAGGACGAGAGGGAGGCCAGCAGAAAGATGAGACACTAGATGACATTCCCGTCCTGGCGATTGCCCAGGCTTCGCAATTAGGGTTTACTCAAACAAGCTGCAATGCCAAAGACGTTTCTATCTCACATCTGATTAATGGTCCCCCCCAGCAAAACCAAGTCCGTGGGCAGAGGGAAGCGCAGCTCCACACATGGCTGCTCTCCAAGGCCAGGCTCCCATTTTCTCCTGGTTTCCCCTCCCAACCGCACATTCCCTGATGCAGGGAGCTCAGCCATGTCCCTCCAAGCCAAGCTCCTTCCTGGGCACGCAGACACCGTGAGAACATGGGAAAAATATGGGAACAAACACTGAGATGGGACTGAAACAGGACTGGAGAGCTGGGAAAGTCCCAACAAACCCAGAGCTTGGGGCACCCAGGTGCCGCGGGCCGGGGGGACACGGCCGTAAGGGAACAGGTCCCTGCCCTCGGTCCCAAGGATGCGGCGCCGGGCAGCTCCCCGCTCCCGGCCCGTGCAGGGAAAGCCTCTTACCTGGCTACCTCGGCCACAGCGTCCCCATTTTGCCGGGTTTTGCCCCGTTTTGGGGCTGAGGGCAGCGCGCAGGGTGCCGCACGGCAGGGCTGCACTGAGGCACCGCGACCAGGAGCACCAAGAACGGGCGAACGGAGCCACCTGCACCCAACGCACCTGCACCGGCTCCGCATCCCCGGCCTTGCCCTGCTCTGGCGTCAGGAACACGCGCCCAGCGTGGCCACCACAGGAGCACTGCAACAGGAATTCGCTCCATTAGCGCAGGGATAAACTCCCCTCGCAGCCTGGTCCCTGTGAGATTCTGCATTTTCAGTCTGGAAACGCGGCAAGCGAGGGAAGGCAGTGAGCTTTTTAATTTTTAGTAAGGAATTAAAGGGAAATGTAAAAAGAAAAAATAATAGAAGTGTCAAAATAAAGACCGTGGCAAACGTGCAAGCTGGCCTCCAAAAAAAGCACTTTAAGAAGCTATTTCCAGCAGACAGATCTGACCTTCCCTTTCAAAATGCCACAGGATATAAATAGAGCAGGCTCATGAAACACGCAGCTCCGAAGTCCCTTGTGATGTGTCACAAACGCCGCTCCGCCTCCCCAAGCGCACCGAGACACGAGGACCCTCTCCTCGCCGCCCTCAGGGCTAACCGGCTCCACTGGAGTCCGGATATCCCCCCATTTCGGAAAAGCCGTTTATCAAAACACGAAGCAGAACCGGATCAGGACGGGGCCTGCCTGCCTCCCCACTGAGCAAACATCATCCCCATAAAGGAACTCACCTCCCGGGCGGCATTTCCTGCAGCTTTGGACACCAGCTGTCACCAGGGAGCACCGCCAGCTCGTGCAAACAGCCAGCTCCTGGTGAGTGCGGAAACGGGGTCATAACCAAGCACACAAACATACCTGGATGCAGTTGGAAAGCATTCCCGTGCTTCCAGCAGTGAGTTACTTCTCTCCTTCCGCTCCGCAACCGCCGCTGCTGTGAAGGGCAGCTCCGGCCGGCGCTTTCGGCTGGGTGTTATGGAGAAGGGAAATCCTCCCTTGGAAAGCAGGACACCTGGAAACGCTCAGCTACTGGGCTGCGTTCTAGTGTGCTCTCATTCTGATTTCAAGGTGACACTTTGTGACTCATCAGGCCCCGTTCTCCCTTGCCACTTTCCAAACCCTCTCGCTTACAAGCTAAATTACGGAGAGATGACAGTATTGCAGTCCCTGCTGTCGAAAGCCAGGGATTTGTCCTCTTTGGGTTCAAAAGGTCTTACTTTCCTGCTCTTCTTCGGCTGATGCAACGAGAGCTTCTCCACATCCTTCATTTTATTTTGACTGCTTGCCGAGGCTCAGGCCGGCTGGCGGCAGCAATACGTTCCCGGTGCCCCTGCAGTCGTGACAGCCACAGCAGTCGTGCACATTTGTTCTTTTCAGTTTGACTGCTTAACTACGGGGAAAAAAATACACAAACTATGCAGTGGGAGCCTCAGGCAGGCAGAATACATCCCGGAAACTGGACATAATGTTGGTGCTCCATGTACTGTGTATTAACATTGAAATAACCTCTAAGGGGAAAAAAAATAAGGCCAACAAAGGGACAGGAGAGTCTGAAAGCAGACAGGATGGCCATGGAGGAACCTTGTATTGCCCCAGATGGAAATAGTCTTTTCCCCATTAACAGCAATCAACAGACACACTGGGCTTGCAGGCAAAACCTGGCTGCTGTAGTGTAGCTTGGTTTTATTTATGTCCACAAATATTTCAAAAAAATTACAAAATACTCAAATGGAGAGAACACAGAAGTCACGATTTCTGGGTTTCTACTCTGTTTACACTGTGTTATCCCATGGCAAACTACTCATATATACATTAAGCTTCAAGATATATATAAATGTAGCAGTCAGAATGTACACTCTGCTTTAACGGTGCAGTGAAACAAGCTCAACCATGACGACATAGAACAACAGAGACGTTTCAAAAACACTAAAGCAAAATTTAAAAATAAATCTTTAAAACAGAGGAAAAAAAAAGAAGAGAGATTTCTTAAAGAAAAATGAAAGGTCTGGGTTGTTTTAACAAGGGCACTGAACACCAAGATGGTTTCAAAAACCACTGCATGTAAAGTTGTAGTTAATCACTGGTCTAAAACGGAAGAGCCTCAGTGCTTCTTTGCTGAATGTGAACACAAAACAATATTCAAATTATCAGAATGCTTCTGTGAAAATAAAACAGGATCAACTAGTAGCTTCTGAACATACACTGCAAAGCAACTTTGAAAAAAAAAGCATGGAAAAACAACCATGGGAGGGAAACAGTATCTTTTTATAACAACTATAGATAAAAAAAATAACAGGGAGAGAGAAGGGTTGGAAGAAAGGGCTCAAGTCCCCAAATTCCACATGGCAAAACTGGGGAGGAGGAGGATTTTAACTGCAATGTGTTAACTATCTCTTTAAAGTAAATCGAGGTGCTCTCTCTGCTGGGCAGGACATTAATGCTTCCAGCAAACATCAAAAATGTTCCTCACTAGCAAACTACCAACTATTTCACCTGGTGGCTGCAGACAGAGGCTAAAGGGAAAACTCTGAGGGAAAACTCTGCCATCCTCGAGTCTGGGCTTCCAAACCTCGGGAATACTGACAGTGACGGGCAGCGCCTCCGCGGGGAGCTCAGGCAGAGCAGAGCGGACCGACCAAACGCTACTGCAGCTCCTTAGTGCTCAGGATCTGGAACGGAGGACAGGAAAAATAGGGGAGGTCAGAAGCCACTGCAACGGGCCCCTCTCTCTAACGACTCTTAAAAGGGTCTGGAATACCCTAAAACGAGCTTTTAATTCATTAACTGGTGTTATTAACGGCCCAACCTTTGGGCGTGAGGAGGCCGGCGCTGTCGTGAGCCCCACGCAGCGGCCGTCCCGCCCCGGCTGCGGATGGAACGAAGGATTAACTACAAGTTTAGCACGCGCGGCTCAGGCCAGTCCTATGACACGAGCACCACATTGAACAGTCCACAACAGCAGAGACGGAGCCCTCGGCAGCTAAGGGAGATAACGGGGGGGAAGTGGTGCACCGGGAGATAACGCGGCCAGCAGATGCAGATGTCTGGTTGCTGTGTTGCCCTCTGCTCTGGTAAGAAACACGGCAAAACAAGAACAAAAATCCATCAGAAACAGGGCAAAACAACAAAAAAAGATCCGTGCAGATAGTTAGCAGAGCTGTCTGCAAGAATGATGCCCACTGGCCTTGTGTGTATGCGTCTCCTTGTGCCATCCAGGTGGGGATGGAGCCAGCAGGAGTCACTCCGCATGGACCTGTCGTTCTGGGAGGTGGTAAACGTTACCAGCCAGGTATCTGATGAATCTCAAAGCTGTTAAGTTCCTGAGATATGGAACAGCTGCGATACAGAGCAGCTAAAAAGCTTCTGCTTGTGTCAAGTGAAACTGAAGAAGCCAAATAGAGAGACTGAGCTTTGCAAAGCAACTTGGAAAACACTCCACCAGCTGCCTAGTCCACTTTCAATAAAAAGGAATCAAACACAAAAGGCCAGGAAGAGCAAATTCTTCAAAAATATGCACATGTATACAAAATTTTGGCTGTACTAGTTTGAGCCATGGAACATCTTTTTTTAAAGCATTTTAAAAGATTCCTTCTTTGAACTTTTGCTGATATTTACTGATTCCATAAGGGACAGTCTAAAACCAGGATAGTTAATTAAGTTTGCAAAGGTAATGGAAAGAAGTATATTACAGCCACATTGAAGATTAACCCTTAAAGTAGGCTTCAAAATGGTAAGCGAGTCCTACGGAGATCTGTACTGCTGAGAAACCCAACTCAACAAAAATCACCTGCAGAACAGAGAGAGAGGATGTAACATTACAAAAAACAAAACAAACAGAGCAAACTAAAACCAAAAACAAGGAACAGAAACAGTCATTTGCAACATTATCCCTGCAACTCCCTTTAATGCTTATTGTTGATACCAAACCAAATTTCAAGCTTTTACCCATTTGAAATTACTGACACCCATCGTTCCCTTTAATTAAAGGGATTATTATATATATTTTTTATTAAAAAATCAACTCTGTATTTTGTCAACACCAGGTAGGAATTCACAATTGATGTTACTGAAAATCAAGATAAAGGTTTCTGGAATTTTGTTTTGTTTCTCCCCCTCTACCCAAAAAGTTATTTACAGACTTAAAAAGCCATGCTGCAGAACTGAGCTTTCTTTAAAATTATGAAGATTTCCTACAATGTATTAAAATAAAAGTAGATTTTTATTATTATAGCACTTGGATTCAGAGCTTGTTATGTCACCTACTTGCAATCTTTGCTTTTTTTTTTTAAATAGCTATAGATGCATTGAGTGTCTCTTCACGCACAGTGACTCGTATTGTGAACCTGATTCTAGCACCTACTCAAAACAAAGTAGTAATAATAATAATAATAATTAAAAAAAAAACAAGATTGCAGGAAGTTCTCCAAATATTCCACACAGTCCTGTATTTTCAATAGGCTTCTGAATATGTTGTCATGCAGGGAGACCCACACCAGTCTTGAGAAATCTTCTCTACAAACGAACACTAGGCTGATAAGTCTCTACTTGTTGGGTGGTGGTTTCTGTTTTAAATATATAAAGAAATCTTTATAAGATATTCTTTTCTTTTTGCAGCTCTTATTGTATGTAAAAACGTTCCATTCCTTCCCAAGGACCGGGGTTTCCGTAGCCAGCGTTACAAATAAATAATTTATTACAACTGTTTGTCGCCTTCTTTCTTCAGTCGACTGAAAGAGAAAGAAAAGTCATTTTCACAGATGCAGGAGGTGTCGGGACCCTCCAGCGACAGCCTGACCTTGCCCGGGGCCCCGATGGGGACAGAGGTTGGGACGGGACTTCTGATCATTCTGCACACAAGGAGAGCCGCTGTAATGGCTCTGATAGCAGCGCCTGTCATGCGAGGAGGTGACCTTCCTCTGCTGAACCACTCCTTGCACGGGAGCGCGATCCTGAGCGCCAGCTCATCAAGGCTCAGCTTTATCTGCAGCCGTTTATCTGCACACAAAACGCCATGCAGCAGCAGGCAGACAGGGTGCCCCCTTGGTTCCGAGCCAGCTCCCAGGCTGGGATGGCAGCAGCCAGGACTGCAACAGCAGAGCACAACAGCTGAAGGCAGCTGTTAAGGTGCTGGATCCTGGCTGGATCCTGGCTACGTGCAGAATTAACCTTGAACCTCAGTGCCACAGGGTTTTACTTCTGAGCAAAAGCAGGGTGATTCTGACAAATCACCAGTGACCACTGCTATAAACACCACATAGCACCGTGGGGAGAAAAAACCTCACGTGATTTCCCCAGGCCTGCCCCACTGTTGCTGTGGGGTGTGCTATTACCCACACTTCAGCCTCCTGTTGCTTTTAGTCATTTCTTCAGATTCACTGGCAGATAAATCCTGCCTTCCTTTCATTCACAAAGCTTTTACCCACCCTCCTCATGTACCTTTCTCAAGGAAGTGTGAGGGATGCAGAAGCAGTGATCATTAATGTGCATGTCACGTTTAAAAGCCCCATCAGAGGTAATCTTGCAATGCACAACTCAGCTAGTCCCCAGTGAAAATGGGCAATAATTCAGAAGAAACAAAAAGGGGGGATGTGGAAGCAGATGAGGGAAGATGGAGCACCGTCTCCAGAAGCCTTCGTGGCACCTCTCACCTGTAATAATCTTCCTGACTTGGTAGATGGCTGCCGTGCATGTGAGGATGCCCGTGCAACCACTGCTGCTCCATTGCCAGTCTCTGCAGCTCTGCTGACTGCGCGTGCATGGCCTGCAGTTGGTGGGCGGCGGACATGGGAGGCGGGATGGCACCGGGCAGATCTCGAGGGTAAGGGGTACCTACAACACAGTTACACAGTCACAAAGTGTCACCACAGCCCCCAAAACACACACCTGTCAGGCAGCACACGCAGGAAAGAGTCAGGATTGTGGAGTCCCAGCTCAATTCCTCAGCTCCAAGCCCCCCTTGCAAGAAATGCTATGCCCCGGGAGGAAAAGGGAGAGTGCAGACCAGGATCAATCCCCAAGGAGGTGCAAAGACTCACCAAAGACTGGATGCCGGAGCATTTCATGCTCATGAGGCGGCTGCCCTAGCAATGGGTTGGGGATGGTCCCAGGTGGGTAGGGAAAACGTGCCAAATGGGGCCCGGCTGCTAACGGATCCACCAGCGGGTGAACAGGTCCTGCTGAACCTTTAAAACAAGGGAAAAGAGAAGACAATCAACTGTTTGGGGACACGCTGCTACCGGGACATCAAAAGTCCTGGTACCACTTGAGCAGGATCAGCACTTGGCCTAATTGGTAATTACCAGGAGCTTAGCTCCCTCCAATTGGAAACCCACTTTGCTCTTCTCGAGTGATGTCTGTGTGCTAAAGAGGCTTCATTGACAAGCCAAGGCTTTTAATTTCTAGAAAGAGAAATCCACCAAATGAGAGGAAACAGCAAAACCACCTCCGCTTCCCTTTTTAGCTGTCTCTCCCAACTCCATGCACAAGGCAGCGGGTTCTTCACGAGACCCGCTCAGCCTGACACAAGCAAGCTGGCAAGACGCAGAAGAAACTCTGCTGCACAGGATTGTTCTTGAAAGATCCTCCCTGTGCAGCTTTTAATTGATTTCCATAATTACACTGCTCATGGTGCTCGGGTTCTCGGCAAGCATTACACTGCTGTTGTGTTTAAGGTCACCTCCCGTTCCGAGGCTCCCTGGATCTGGTGTCATTCCTCCATGCCCTCCTGGAGCCTCCTGTTCTCGGCTCTTACAGGTGGCCTCAAGTTCACGGCTCTGAACGGGACCGTTTCGGCCGGGTTTCTGGAGAGCCTTAGGAGCCCATGTGTTCACAGTGAGGACTCCTCACTGACGTTTAACGCACACACCGCAGGGTGAAGCAGGTTGCATTTGCCTGCACGAACAGCACAGCTGCAGGCAGCTGCAGCAGTTCAGGCTTCTGGACAGTTTTCTTCTGACTTGGCTGCTACTGCAGCTGGTGCCTTGCGAGCTATGTTCTCCCTAGGCTGCTATGGAAAACGTGGAAACTTCAGTTTAGGTCCAGTTCCCAACTTCTGGATTCAGGATTTTCTCAGAGGAGTAACTCTATAGCTTGCTTTAGAAGCAAACAAGGCACCAATTAACTTCTGAGAACATTAAACATATTAAACATCACAAGAATCATGTGAATCACAAAAAAAAAGGAACTAAAAACTGCTATAACTTTAGATGGTTCTGGTAAGAAGAGTGACAGAGATTGTCCTAGTGAGGGTCCCTTTGCTCAGCGGAGTCTGCACCTGTACACCAAATGTAAAATACGAGAAAGCCTTTTGGAGCAGCAGTGTACAGCGCCAGGGAAAATGCCTGCACTGCCATTTATCTTCCTGCCGTGCTGCTCTTCTGCATCTTTCCCAAATAACTGTTTGCAATGCCAGCCCTAGATCACTCTTGCAGCTGCCCATCTTCTCCAGGTGGAGAGATGTTTGGAAATGCAGCCACGCTCGTTGCCCACCACTCCATTTGGGTGCGGAACCCACCCATTGGGATGGGTATCAAATCCCGGGCACGGAGCAGGAAGAGCAAGCTCAGAGGTGGCCACGTGAACCTGGTCTTCCTGCTTCTGGTCACTAACACAATCCATAAAATCAAGAGTTGCTGCTATGGGGCAGCTCAAGGCAAGGAGGGGGACAAATCGCCACAGCTCCCACCACAGGGAGGAGGTGAAAGTCCTTCCTGGAACACAGGAATGGGAGCAGCTGCTGTGCAAAATCCCAGCAACAGCAGGAAAGCGCCTGACAACCGGCATTTCAGAAGTGATTTTGAGTCCTCCTCCACCTCTCAACTCACCATCTATCTCCAGCTTCCTATTGTTCCAAAAATTCAACAGTGTGAAAGGCAGGGGAAATGTTAATGACGCAGCAAAGCAGGCAGGAGCAGGGCAGCTTGACAAACACCTGCATTTACCCACGCTGGGCTGCTGCTGCCGCCACTGAATGAGCTGCTCTAGACTTAAACCAGAAGCGAGAATATTTCTGACAAGGCATAAGCATGTAGAGTAGTATTGGTTTCACTAAACTTATCCTGAGCTGGAGCACAGCTCTGTCGCAGAACAAAATGGGATCATATACTATGGTGCATGTAGTAGATTAAGTAGAAACACTACTTAATCCCCAAATGCAATACAGCTATTTTCTGGTTGTGGCCCAGCAGTATTTCAGTGCATTTTCCCCTGTGAGCAAGAGAATGGCATGCCCATAATAATTCAAACGTGGTGAATTTGTGATTTGTTTGTTACATAGTCGTGCTCAGATATACGGGGGCTACGCTCGGGTGTCATAGCCTCGCTCAATATCAACGTCACCTCCAAAAAGCCGGAGATCTTGCCGCTCGTAACACCAGGTTTGCTGCCTGGTTTGCAGCAGATTTCTGCTAATGGTTATGAGAGATTCCCCAGCCAGGTCCCCAGCTCACCTTGATGCAAAGGATCCTGCTGATGTAGGTGTAAATGTGAATGGATGTGTGAGTGCTGGTGGTGGTGAGGCGTGACGTTGAACATCTGGAGCCGCGCCAAGGGGTCGTTGGTCAGCGACGCCATCCGCTCCGCGTGGATCCTCTCGGCTGCCAGTCTGTCCGGGTAGCTCATTTCAGGCCGGAGCTGCGGGCCTGCCAGTGCAAGTCTCTCTCTTTCGAGGGGATTCAAACCCGGGTGGAAGGAAGCAAACGGATGAGGTCCTGCTGTTGGGGGAATAGTCAGTGCACCGTGCCGGGCAAAATGCTCCATGGGGTTCGTAGCCGGGTGCAGTGCATCGAGCTCCGGGGGCTTCACCTCAAAGCCGGGTTTCATCCTCTCTCTCAACTCCCTCTCCCGGATTTCTCGCTCCCGGATCTCCCGCTCGCGGAGCTCTCGCTCCCGGATGGTGGGGTCCACGTTGTAGAGGCCAGGCATGTGGTAGGCCAGGAGCGGATCGGTGGGGTTCAGGGGGACAAAGAAGGGATGGTTTCGGTTTGTGGGTGACATGACGTGAGGACGGGCGTATTCGCTCAGTGTTCGTAACGCGGGGGTGTCAGGGCCGATGTAAGGTGGCACGGCAGCTATGGTCGTGGGTGGAGGTTCAAACGATGGCCTCATATGTGCTGGCCCGCTGAGCTGGGACTCCCCAAGACGGCCTTCGTGGGAGGAGCTGGATACCTTCTGCTGCACAGAACGGGGGAAAAAGACCTTCAGTTCAGCACGTCTAGCTTAGAAACAGGGCAGGCAGCAGGCAAGTGCTCCCCTCCTCTGTGCATTAAGCTGCAAACAGGGCCAAGTTCTGCTTGCTGAGCCCCACAACTCCTACAACTGGGTGCTCCACTGTGGCTGGGGCAAAACTGGACTCCATCTTCCCCATAGGTCAGAAAATAACTACATTTTAGTGGCAGCCTCAAAACTGCACTACCTGCTCCAACACCTGCATCCTCACATGGGACACAGCCAGTTGGAACACGTTACTACAGGTTATAAGCCTGTTTGCAAAGTGCTCTTCCTCCCCTCTCCGTGCTCATCAGATTGTACAGAGCAACTCACCTCCACACTTTGCAGCAATACCAATTGCACTCCCTTCCCATCACTGAGCATCCTGCCCTTCTCTCTCTGCAAGGGCAGCACAGCACTTCTGGGGAGGGCAAATTACCCCTAGCAATTGCCCAGTATCCCCCAATAAAGCCAAATCCTCATAAATGACATATCCCTTAATGACTAGCTTTATGACTTGCCTTTATGGCCCCATAGAGATGACTAGCTGTGATTCAGATCTCTGAAATGCCCCATGGAAAGAGATGGGAGTACCTCCTTTTTCAGCACCAGTACATGTGATGCTAACTCTGGGGGCCCAAAAGTAATCATTCCTTTTTAACCAAGCCACAGAAAAGGAAATGAGTTACACTGGCTTTTTTCCTTCAAGACTGAAGTTTGCTTCTTCCAACAAAAGTAAACTCTATACCTTTACTCAAGTTTACTTCCAATTTAGAAAGGCTTCAGCTCCCTTTTTCAGCAGAGAGCACTCTTGTGCTTGAGTTTCAAAGGCAGCAGAAGATGCACAAGGGAATTTGCTATCTGTACTTTGGGAGCATTTTCCACCTCAAAATGTCTACTCCAAGTAAATGTAAACACTTGGCCTAGTTTCCCCAGCTTCCCCATCAGAAACAAACCGGCAGGAGAAACTCTCCATCTCCTCCGCAGGGGCGAAAGAGGCAGCTCAGCCAGTGCCTGCTCGTGGCCCGCTGGCTCCCACCTTCACGAGGACCTGACCGACACTTCTGCCTATTAGCACCTGCAGTCACCATCCAGTTCAGGTCCTGCCACTTTTCAGCTCTTAGTTACAAATAAACTTACCGCAGCTCTTTCTGCTTCTCTTTCACGCTCCCGCTCTCTCTCTCTTTCCTTCTCTTTTTCTTTCTCTCTTTCCCTCTCTTCTCTGGCTTTCTGCTCTGCCTCCCTCTTGGCCTTTTCAATGGCCTCTTCTCGCTTCTTGGCCAGTTTGGATCCTGCTAGAGGCATGAAGTACAAGTCTGCTCTTGAGCACGAATTGTAGCCACGGTCTAGGTGCTTGTAGAACCTGGGAGAAACAGAAAGAGTTCAGCCACTGGGATGGATACCCTTGGATGAAGAACCTTATGACCAAGGAAACTTAAATATCACTCTACAGTTATAACATCATCTGCTTCCCTGAAAGCCAAGAGGAGATCTAACTGCACCATGTAACTCTACAGCCACACAGAGCCTCCTCTTGGCAGGACGACCTGCAATGTCTGAAAACGCTGGCTGCAACAGAGCAAAGGTGCACGTGTAGAACACGCTCAACTGCCACATTTCTCATGTGCATTTGAAAAACTTGCCAGCATCATCAAGCATCACTTTAGCTAATTCCTAGCACAAAGTGATCAGCAATCTGAAGAAGAACAAGTAGGAGACCAAAGAAAAACCAACATGGAAAACGTCCATTCGTACAAGTCGGGCATTTCATTGCAAACTAGGCAGAGGGACCAGGAAGGTCCTTGTTGCAGGGACCTGTTGCATCCTAACCCTGTTGCATCCTGTCTACCACAGATGTCTGAGGAAGGTGAAAGGTGGAAAGAACCGGGATTACAGCTCATCACATCTCTACCACAGGAGAGGAAGCCTGTGACATGTTGCTTTCTTGACAAAAAAGAAAGCAAACAAAGCCGGCTGCAGGGAGCACCTCCAGCTCAAGGCCTGTGACAGCTGAGCTTGGCTGAGCAAGCAACAAAGGTGCAGGCTTTTGGGAGCACCCTGCTCCGTGGCAGGGCAGCACCCAACAACCTCCGTACCTGGCTGACTGACTCGCGTGGCTCGGGGTATCCACCACGGTGGGTTCTGGCGACGGACTCCTGGGTGGAGGAGGAGGGCTCTCCGGTTCCTCCGCCTCGTCGGGGACCTCTTCTTTGATTTGGATGGGGGGCAGCGCGCAGGACGTCACCACGGGCACGTTGCCGCTGGGGGCGGCGGCCGTGGAGATGGCGGTTGGCAGCGGGACGCCGGGCCCGGCGGGCGGCGTGGACGTGGCAGGGCAGGAGGGAGGCGTGATGGGAGGCGGCCCCCCGGGCACAAAGGGGTGCTGAGCGAAGGGGGGCTGCGAGGACACGGCGTGGAGGCCCGACGGCGGGTGGGTGCCCGGCGGCGGGAGGCTCTGGCTCTGCGTGAGCACGGGCGGCTGCGCTGGCGACGGCTGCAGCGGCTGGCTCTGCGGCATGAGCTGCAGCGGCGGAGGGTGCGCGGATGGCGGGTGGTGCGTGGAGAGCGAGCTGAGCGGTTTGAGCGCGGGCGGCGGTGGCAGGTTGGAGTTCATGGAGAACGGGGAAGGGCCCGAGAGGTGCGGAGGGTGCTTGTGGGGCGCAGCGGCGGGCAGCTGCGGGATGGGAGTGGTGGGGGGAGGCTTGATGTGGGGCATGGCCATAGGCGCGGGTGGCAGCGGCTGCTCGCGGGGCGGCTGCGGCGGCGGCTGCAGCGGGGCTGGTGCCGGCAGCGTGGGCTGCGCTACCTGCGCCTGCAGCGCCGGGTGGGAGTGAGACGGCGCCTGCGTCTGCAGGGGAACCTGAGCCTGAGGGGACTGTGCGGGGAGGGAGAAGGGCTGCGGGGGCACGGGGTGGGCCAGGAGGGGCTGCGCCTGCAGGCCATGCGGGGTGGGTTGCGCCGCGCCGTGCAGCACGGGCTGCGCGTGAGGCTGCGTGGAGGCCGGGCCCGCCGGGCCCTGCGAGGCGCTCAGGGGCTGCAGGGGTGCGTGGGGCGAGGGGAGGCGTGGCGGGTGCACGGTGGGCGCCTGCTGCATGTGCATGTGGGGGGGCACTGCGGGCTGGCCGGGTGGCTGCGCGGCGGGTGGCGAGAGCTGCGCGGGTGCTGCGGCAGCGCCCGGTACTGCGGCCGGCACGGGTGGTGCGGGAGGCGGCAGCGGCTGCGCGGAGCCGCCCTGCGCTGCCAGCACTGGGGGCTGCGCCTGCAGCACCTGCTGCTGCGCCGAGGAATCCGAGTCGCTCTCATTGTCCTGCGGGCTGGGGATGCTGGGCGAGGTGCTCCGGTTGTCCTGGTCGATGTCCTTGGGGTCACTGCTGCCTTCGTCGTTGACGCTGCGGCTGTCGGAGCTCTCGCCTTCGCCCTCGCCCTCGGAGGGAGAGTTGGGCCGGCTGATCTCCTGCAGGGAGAGCGCGAGAGCCGCGGTGGTCATGAGGAAGCTGCTCACGGAACCAGCCATCCGCTGCAGCAGGCCTCAGCCAGCCTCCCAGGACTAAATCCAGAGACCTCCACTGGTCTCTGGAGGCAGCGTGAACCAGCCCACCTGTGCTCCCATCCTGCTGATACTAAGACTAAAAAACACTCATGGCCTTCCTCCTTGTCATCGCACTGTTCTCCCACAGAAGGGATGCATTATAAAGTGGGCTGGTTTTCCAGCCACATGCTAAATTACAATTTGCTATGGCTTAAATCAATTTTGTGGTTCTGGTTCATTACTGCGTTTTCAACCCTCTCCCACTCATCAATTTTCCCAAAGTGAAAAGAACCCTCTGCTGTGGGACTCACTTGAGTTTTGGATTTTTTGGCATTGGACCTGTCAGGTTCTTCTGTGTCAGAAGCTGCCTTTTCCCGCTGCCTCTTGGAGTTCTTGAGGGGAGAAGATACCTCTTCCTTTATCTTCTGCAACAAACAAAACAGAACTGTTATCAGTGACATAAACGCAAGAGCAAAGGGAGCACGTGCCAGCACTACGAAGTCTCTTGTAAATCAAACCAGAAGGGTTCCTCTGAAGCAGAACTGACCAGAAGGTGATACAGGCTGCATCGAATGGTGATCAATACACATTGATCCTCCCTCTGCCTCATCAGGGCACCAGAGCAATCTGTCTTGGAGGTGCTGCTGCACTGCCCGTCTGCAAAGAGCTGCACTCTCATAATGCTCTAGACACTCCCTGCAAACACCCGTTTAAGATGGGATCCAAAGTAAGGCTGCAGTTTTGCTTCTGCAGATGGAAACCCAAGGGGCATCTTGCAAATAAATCCCACAGAGATTTTTCACACAAGCTGGGAGGAAAAAGGGCCGTTCCCAGGTAAAGCGTACATTAGGCAGAAACTGTTTTGAACTTTGAATTTGAAGGAATATGCTAAACTAGATAAACAGTAACAAAAGTAATATCGATTACTATGTATATTACTTTATAAATAAAGATTAAGTACTGCTTTAAATAAACCTCGTAACTGCCTAATTGTCTTATGCATTGCATTTCTGATCTGTCCTACTTCTGCATGTTGAATGTTTGCATTTACATCTAAAATTGAAGGATTAGTTTCCTGTAAGAGCAGGATGATTATGTGGGAATGCTTCAGTGGCTTTTATCACCACACATCCCTATAGGCAGCAAGACAGCAGCAGTCAGATGCAGCCTTATTTTTTGCATATCTAAACAGATGGGACTTTCTTGGGCACCAAGAGCTTCCTTGACCTGCTCGAACCTCCATCTCCTTCAGTGGAACGAGGAAGCCTCAGGTGCTCAGTTCTAACACAAAAGACAACCAGGGAAGTTCTACCTTGGTGGACTTCTTCACCGAGTCTGCTTTGCTGTCATTGCTGGAGGTGCTGGCAGCGCTGGGGGAGTTGCGGCCGCTGGAGCGGATGTCTTCGTTGATGGGGGAGGCTCTACCATCAGGGCTGGCTGGCTGCTTCTTACGACCACTACGTAGTGTAGACATCTACGTGTGACAGAAATAAAAGTACATCAAAGGTGGCATTTGCTTAATTTCTTGTTTTCCCATGTTACGGCAGCGACACGGACGGCGCGCTCGTACTGTTTCAGAAATGAAAAGCAGAAAAATTAAAACGTTTTTACAATTAGCCTTTGAAAGCTCATCTTGGCTTCAAGAAAAAGGAGGCAAATTCTCCATTTACCTAGTCCAAAACATTACATCCCCCCTACTTAGGTAGGGCCTACTGGAAATGAGGAAATGAGAAAAGATGCCCTGGCTGCTGCTTGCACGCCAGGATTTCTCTGTAAAAGGTCTGAGAGGAGGTCGCAGCCATTTCGTGTGCGTGCAAGCACACAGTGAAGGGGTGAGGAGGGGACCCTCATCTTCCATAAACAAACACAAAGTCTATCTGCAGGCATAGTCCAAAGCAGATCCTAGAGTAACGGAGAGATGAACCACACAGGCGGCCAAGGGAGATTTCTAAATCCACTAACAGCTTCAATGTGCTCCTGTTACACAAAAAGGAATCACAGTAGAATCTGCTGCAATAATTAATACTATTTCACTTGTACCTCTTCCAAATTAGCAGCTGTTTGAAGGCTGGCTTTCAAAAAATGATAAAGGCTGAGAGCATGGCCTGACAAGATATTTAGAAGCAATGGACGTGTAAACACGTTCAGAAAGGTGGCAGAGAGGAAAATGAGGAACAGTGAAAAAAAAATCCATTGCTTCCTAGCAGCAAAATTCCAAAATAAGCATCAGATGAAGCAGAGTTCCCATCACGGTCCTCGCAAGTGCCGTGCCTCCAGCACGGCTCCTGGCATCTCACCCTGAGGGAAAGGATCAGCCACAGCAATAATCCAGTTTTTAGTGGGCAATGGCTTTTTAACCGCAGTCACGTGCAGAGACCACATGAAGAGCAGTTGGGCTTTTCAAACTCTTCCTTTCCAGCATGCCCAAGGGCTTACCTCTGAGAGCACCCAGCTGGGAAAAGGATACACACTTGTACGAAAGCTGCAGTGATTCATAGGTCAAGAATCCCCTGACGCTAACAGTCTATTGCCTTTACCCATAAGAGAAGGTCTGTGTTCGGTGAATTAAAGAAGAATTTGACTGAAACTCATGGAAGACATTTCAACTCCCTTTTTTCAAAGAAAGCCCAACCTCAGTGTGCGAGTAAATCTCACATTTGCCTACATAAATGCAGGTGCAGGCTCACACCAAGACACAGAGAGCAAGGATCATTTTAAAAGTCTCCTCTTTCCAGAAGAGCCTGAAAAGCCAAGGAATGAAGAGTGTTAAGCCTACCGAGCCTCGACTCCGCCTTGTCCTCATGCTATGCTTTCCACTGAGTCCATCATCTTCCTCTTTGACAGGCTTAAACATAAAGGGGGGGGGGTCCACAGGCTTCTCGATGGGTGGCAGCTCTCCGTATTTCTTGAAGTGGATGCGACAGTCAGTGCAGAGTAAGATGTTCTCTCGACCACCGTGGTGCCAGTCTTTGGAGGCTTGGGGCAGGAAAGCAAAAGCTTACACATTCACAATTTACTACATAGACACTAACACACTGCATTATTTAAAATAAAACACATACACAATGACAGAATGTCTGCTTCTGTGCAGAATTCTAAGTTGGGAAAGCCTCTGGAAAACACTGTCCCCTTTTTTTCTCCCCGAGTTTAAATGTACATTAAACACTTGATTACAAGCTACTACTTTACTTAAGCAACTACTGCTTTAAAAATAAGAAAAAGTCTCGTTTGCTCTACCTAGGGACTAACAGCTATTAACAGGTAGCTATTATTTTCCCCAAGTTGTGGTTTCTTAACTTTGAGTCATGAGCTTTCAACTCTCCCTTACTGACGCAGGATCTCACACTCGAGTGCATGTTGCTAAATGCCAGACAGCTTTCACAAATACTTATGGGAGTGAAGCTACTGCACAAGAGCCTTGGTGCATTATAAAAATAGGTTTGTAAGTGGATTATATACAGAATTATGTTAGTACACAGATCTTACTGTTTAGATGTCTCCCTCCCAGGAGTCTCCCCTGTCACGGCAATATTAATTTGCAATTCTAAATCATGATTCATTCTTTCAGGAAAATTGCACACTTTGGCTAATTCAGCCCTACATTTTGGAAGTGCTGCTGTGCATGCACAAGAACTGCTCTTGCTGGAATGAACCTGTGTTACATGGGCAGTAGCAGAAGGGAGGGAGATACAGCAATATATCGGGCACATACTGGTTGTGAAGCAGTGACGACAGGCGTAGCCCTTCAGCTCCTGTTCGCTGTCCTCGCTGTCAAAGTCATCTTCACTGGCTGAGCTCAAGTCCACTGAATAAGTGAAAAACAGCAAGTGGAAAGGGAAAACAATTTAGCAGGATTTGGTGTTTCCTCCTACCTGGTTGAATAATCGTTAATAATGACAGTTCTCGCATACGTGCTGTGATTTCCTACCACCAACTTGCCTTCGACTGCCCCTGTTTCAGACTTTTTAAGCTAAGCAAGGCCAGGCTGGTCAGTCTGTTGATTAAAAGATTATTTCAGGAATACACAAAGTGATATAACTCATACAACTTCTGTGTGTGATACTTCTCCAATTAAGTAGTTGTTCAAATACAGGTTGTGCTAGTCGGAATGGCTCTGCTCTTAAAAGCAGAGCTTTGGAGAGGATACTTATGCCAAGCAGGGAAGCATATAGCAAATTATCCTCTTAAAAATTACATTTTCCAGCCACTTGCTATAAACTCACATAGTAGTAAGTCTATAATTTGTCACAAATAAAAAGTCCTGTCCCACCTAGGAAAACATTTTGACATGTGTCCTCTCTGGCTCGCATCTTTAATTAGAAAAGCTGTCCTTTACTCAAGAATGCTCTTTCTCTGAAGGTCTAGAGAGGCTGTTTTGTCATATATGTTAGTTATAGAGACTGGGCAACTACAGAAGCTTCTGTTAGCATTTGTCATCGACTCATTGCTTTTCTAATCAAAACCAGACTCCCATTTAACAACTTCTCACATTGCAACAGTAGTTGCTGCCATTATCACAATTTCTACATTAATTCTCACAGGCGTTTAAACCCTAAATGTAAAATTCTTATCAGGCTAGAACCTGTTTAGACTATTCTGCTTCCCTCAAGGCTAAAGCACTTCCAAGACACATTGATACACAGGATTGCTCAGCACAGCCCAGAGACGGAGCAGAAGAGATGGGTCACCCAGTAGGGCTGACAGGGCTTCCATCCATTCCATTTCCTAATGCTTATTCCTGTAAAAAGCCAAGTGAAGATACAACATACACACACAAAAAGAAGTACAGGAATTCACTACCAGGGCAGTATTTCTATCCTGACATGATGCTTTTGTGTTCCAGAACAGCACACAGCACTTGCTGATGGCAGACGCCTACTGCATGGCAGCATAATGGTACAGGAACAGGAGAGGGCAACTGCCTGAACCCCATTTGCTCGTGTTATTCACTTGAAGGCAAAGCATGGTTACATTACTCCCTGCATCTAAACACAGATAAATGCATTGCTTTTAGCTCCCACTTACAGAATTCACTGGAGGGGGGCCTGGAGGGAGTGTTGACTGGAGTGGAAGCAGTTCGAGTTTTAATTCTCCGAAACACAGCCTGTCTTCGATGCCTCCGGTGGGCGCGAGAACTTGCTGCTTCAGGGGTTTTCTTCCAGTAGTAATAGAAGGTGATTAGTTCTCCCTGCAAATGCACAAGGAAGACGTTAGAGGGGCACGCAAGGTTGATGTGTCAGCTCTTTTCCTCCCCTTCGCCGGGAATGCGCGCACACCTATTTATGTAGGAAGCTTCAGGGTGCATTTCAGACAAAGAGAATAATCCTCAGACACGACAGAAAAAAAACCCTTACTATTTTCGTTAGCTTCTGCAAGGAGGCACAGAAGTAAATAGACACGTTCCTGCTTTTGCCCTCTACCTCCTCCTCCATTAGAGGAAGAGGTTTTTAAGCCTTCATCCCGCCATGGTCTCGCTGTTTGGAGGCGGGTGCCCTTGCCCTGCTGTCAGCACCCTGTTCAGGCCCTGCAGAGCTCCCCTCCTTCCGCCACAGCACCCACCCCTGCTAAGAACCCCCCTGTATTTACACAAAGAATAGAGATCGGCACAAACAATGGCATTTTGCCAGCCTACACCCTGCAATTGGATGTGCATATTTTGAAATATTCCTGCTTAAGCTGCAGGAAGTCAGAATGGAAGCGTGTTCGACAATAAGACTATAATCACAACATGCACCCATACTACAGCAAATCGTGTCTTAATTGGAACATGTATGCCCACTTCTAAGCCCAGCAAGCCGTTAAACGAGGACACCTAGAGAAATGAGTGATAATTCCATCCAGAATGAACGTGGCTTCGGCTCAAAAACTGGAGCAGCTGCCACTCACAGCAGCGGATGCAGCGCTGAGCTGAAGAACAGCACGTGGTTTTCATCTCTTCTCTCTTGCTTTGAAACTCCATCGCTTCCTGGCGCCTTGTCTGCCTCTAAGGTAAAAGGTGCTGCTGCTTTTGAGTTGCACGAGAAAACGAAGTCCTGCCCAGACCCTTGAAAATCAGCATGAGAACAGCACGCCTGAGCTGCCCACAAATGGCATCTCTTTGAAATGTGTTTTATGAGATGGCAGAAGGTACCTTCACCTGCTCGGACGTCCCCAGACCCCGGGCAGGGGACACTCACTGCTGACTTTAAGGTGGGCAAGACCTTGGCCTGCCTTGGCAGGCAGGTGTAGGCAGCGAGGTAGGTTATTCTCAGGCAGCACCGAGCAAATCTGCAAATCCCACGTGGGAATGGGGGTGAATTAACGTGCACCCCCTGACACGTGACAACAGGAGAGTGGAAACCAATCTCCTCCCCTGCCACCACACAACAGTAAATGGGAACCTCTTGGAGTTCTAGTTACACATTGCAAACCCATCAGGTCCCAAGGGAAGTTTAACTTATGCACGGCGTTGCATCATGAAACCAACTGCTTAAAAAGAAATAGCATAGATGTATGAAAAATATGATCTCCATGATTGTAACACTTCTTTTTTTTTCCCCCCGAGACCCTCACCAAAACCACAGTGACAACACTGCATGTAGATATAACAGATATCTATCTATTCCATAACAAATTCTGCCCTATCTACAAAGTTGGGATATATTAAAGGATTAGAAAACAGTCCTTACTCCCAATTCAAATCCAAACACCACTGCTACATGACAAGGCAAATGACTCAACCTCCCCACCCAGGGGTTAAAGTCACAGAGGGAGCATGTATAGAAAATGTTCTATATGGATGGGATTGACATGTTCTCCACTTAAAAAAAAATAAAATAAAAGAAATTCCACGCCAGATTTTATTAGCTGCCTGGCCATCAAATACTACATTGTCTACCTAAAGGATTAAAGGCTGGAGTGGAGTGAATCTGAAAGGATTAGAAGCAGCATATTGGTAACTGCATGGGTGGCAAAAGCTTGGGGACAAACAAAGGAATATGTCGGGAGAGCTTTGGTGGCACTAGCGGGAGCGCAGCAGCCTCCAGCCCCGCCGCCAGGGAAGTCAAATGAACTTTAATCACACATGCAGGGCGCGCGCCACCGAAACCCACCGCACATCAATTCAGGCAACAAAAGCTGCCGCGGAAATCAATAGCTTACCGAAACATTAACAGGGGCCAGCATCGATCAAAGCCCCTCTTACAAAAGGCAGCCTTGCAAATTAGCCACTGGCTTTGCTGGCGTGAGCGCTGCCGACACCCAGGGCCCCCAATGACCACTTTGCTCCCGGTGATCTCGGCGCAGCGCAAGGTCCTGCGGCCGACACCTCCCACAGCTCTGCTGTCGTTGCTGACAGCAGGATGAGCCCAGAGATCCTTTGGAATTCCCTCTGGAAGCAGGGTGACAAGGGCCCTTTCGGCACCCAGCACCTCTGCTTCCAGTGCACAGGTCTGGAAATCACTTCCCTGGCACGCGGCTTCTTTCCCCACTTCCACTTCCCCAGTGGAAGGGACGGAGGTGACGGATGAGGGTTTCCATCCCTCACGAGGAGCTCAGTCCAGCCCTGCATCCTCCCCTGGACAGGAGCAGGGCAGGTCCTGTGAGCTCCTCCACACCCTTAACAAACGGAGCCGAGTGCCCCGGTTTGTCACTTCTTATCAGCGCTTCCCAAATGCAGAGTACACAGTACACGTCGTTCCGTGTTTGGGTTTAGTCCTGCCTTAGGTAAGCAAAGGATTAGCTGTAGGCGCGCATTCCTGCCCGGGAGCCGAGCAGACCCATGGGCTCAGCTCGAGTGTCCACGTGCAGGAAGGTGGGCAGCAAACAGCCTAATTGCTGCTTGATTTCCCCAGAGTTCTGCCTTTCTGCCAGGAGAAGAGAGCACAAAACTAAAGAAACGGGGGGGAAAAGGTAAATGACAACCCTGTGGTGGCGGACACGCAGGCAGGAGGGGACCGACCATCCATAATGAATTCCCAATCTTTCTGGAAGGCAGCAAGATGTTAAGTCAACTCAAGTCAGCTATTGCCCTGCGTTACGCTGAAGTCCTCTTCTAAAAGCAGCGTGTCCAGGGCGAGAGGCAAAACGGAAGGTTTCGGTCCCTCCAACTACGCAGATCTCCCTACCCCAATGTGGCTGATTCCAAAGGCACAAGGGAGGAAACGGCACCATCAGCCCCAAACGCTCCGGCTCCAACCTGACCCACCAAGCGGGACCGGGGCAGCCAGCAGAGCTGCCTTAATTCTGCCCGTTACAAGCCCATGTCCTGATCTGGCTAATGCAGAAATCTCCTTCCAAACATGCCGAAATATTTTAGAAACGCAGCAGAGCCGCGCGGGTCAGGAAGGTCGAATTTCAGCATTTTTACCGTTTCAAGCTTGCCCTCCGTGCCGCTGTCGGCGGTGACAGATAGGCCTGCGTATGTTCTAATTAAGCAGCAAGTCCCCGTGGCTCGTGCAGCGGCGCTGATTAATGCCCGCCCGGGCTCGCGGCACCGCTGCGGAGGCTGAAACACTGCTGAAATGTTCCGAGAGGCTTTTCAAAACCCAATAATATTTTAATAACACTACTAAGAGGGTATTCAAAATCCTAGGATGCTTTCTAAGAAATCTCCTGCAGGTCTCTCACTTTCCCTTGCATATTTTATCAATCTAGCAGGCCCTGCTCTCTGCTAAGACCCTTTCCTACAGTTTTTGCAAACAAAACACCCGTTTTGTTACCTGTCTAACGGCAAGATCAGCAGCTTCGTTCCATTTCGTATTAGGAAGTCCTGGTTAAACTGGTTGCCCAAGTGGGAAAGCAGGAAGCAAAAGCAGATGAATGTTGAAGAGCCCAAGCCAACCCTAGTGTTTTGTGCCAGTTATACCAGTTGACCCCCAAATATACTCCCAAACCTTCTCAGGAATCCAGCTGAGGCTCTAGCTGTAATTCCTGCTTTTTCTTCTAATGTGATATCCTTCTTGCTTTATTCCTACCATTGTCTGCGCGGCTTTAGCAAACCAAAAGTCTGAATTTTATTGTTCAAAGCCTAAAAAAACCCCAAACACCTCAGTCACAAGTTCCTGTGTCCCACCTAATCCATAACCCTGGTGCGCTGCAACTGCTAACTTGTTCCAGTATGCAATTAAGGTTGCACATATTGGTAGCAAACAAGATAAATCAGTGTATTATGGAACTTTCCCTACCTAACTGCCTATGCACACAACTCCTTTTTCTTGTTTTTAATGGGTTTAGCTGTATAAATGCTGTGCAAAGCCTAAGCTAGAGCATGGTTTCCAGCCTCAGCTGCAAGCTGCTGACCCTCTGCTCAGCTGCCTGCCGTGCCGGCGTGACAAGAAAGCTTTTGTAATTAAGGCTGCTTCCTCCAGAGACCCCTCTTTGTTATTCAACAGTGCCCGACACCCCGGGGAGCGCGAGCCGTTGGCCGCATCCATTACTAATTATTAGATCCCATCTCGAGCGGTGGCACTCGGGCGTCTACACACTGTGCAGGATCCTGCCCCATCTTGCTCACTTATCAGCCTAGCAAAACAGCCAAGAACCCGCTTGCCTTACGTTTCCTTCCCAGCTCCCCTTGGCATTAGCAGAGTTTCCGAGGCTGAAAACCCTCTTTCGCTCCCTGCCCTCTGGTTGTTTCGTTTTTCTCCGCTCCTGTTCCAGGATGATCCCATGTTTTCCCGCCCGGCAGCCACATCTGCGGGACAGAGGGCTCTCCCAGGCAGCACACAGGACGGGTGAACTCACAGGACGGGTGCATTACAGATCCCGTGCAGTTCTGATGAAATGTTTCTGCAAAGGCAAGAGACAAGGGCGCATTTTCCTGAAGCCAACGAGGTTCAAAACTGTTTCATCCAACGTCTTTCACTGCCATCCTCTCATCCCCTACAAGCTCTCATAGTGGGTACTTCCACCTCAGGGGAAAAATGGAGCCCGAGATAAACACCTGGATAAATTAAATACAGTATATACACCACCAAAACACCTCTCATGGCATCTTCTCGGGCTTGTAACACACCACGTTTTTACCTTCTGAAGCAAAAAGATGAGCGATGGTTCACGTGGGTGTGCACATGAGAGCAAGCAAGGGTGCGCAGCAAGCCACAAAGCTGCTAAAACCACCCTGCTCCAGCCCGTAAACATTTTTCTATTTATCTGCCCTTCATTACGTGGGCAATCTTATTATCTCTGCACATCCTCAAAGCGACAGCC